GCTAGTAGTTTCTAAATTTATATGTGCAATCCTTTTTGAATCAAACTTTCAATCTCGATAAGAATGACGTCACAAACCACATTAATTAATACTTATGTATGTTAGGCGTTCTACGCATCGCACATTATCCCATCCGAGAGCGCGGTGCTGAACCTGGTGTCGTCGCACTGCGAGCTGATCAGCGGCAGCAGCAAGTACTCCATCGGCACTTCCCTCATGATGCTGGCCTACTCCGCCGCCAAGCTGCTTGACTTCGGCGCGCCCAAGCTCGCGGACAACGCCGCACTCTCCAAGAAGGCCATAGATTTGATCATACCAGCTTTGGTAAGTTCCTCTAGCTTCTAAAAAACAGAGAGCACTTCAAACTTAGAAACCAAAAACAGTTAATAAACTTGTATTCATTTTCTTTTCTCTTTAACAGGCTGATGGAAGACTAGAGTTCTTAACAGAGCCACTAAGAGCGACTTTAAATACACTGGTGCCGCAAACCTTGACTGCTGAGCAACTCAGACATGAACACTTTTTGAAAACAACATATACTGTACTGGTTGAGCATTTGCAACCTTCCACGGAGAAGACTTTACGTTATATGGTAAAACATTGATCCTGTTGTTTGAAAATTATATCATTAGATACAATAAACATTATTTGTATTAAATAATGCTTTATTACAGGTCAAGTATTGGGAGAAAATCTTAGACCGATCAGCTGGCAGAAAAGCGTACGAAGCTGTTTTTAGCGAAGATAATGAATACAGCCTTGGTAAAATACTTCTTACCGCTCCCAATGCTAGAAGTCCGTACACAGTAAGAGTTATCAAGTGAGTTTCAGAGATTCATTTGTATTCTATATTTTTGTATCGTGAATGAATACATTTTTATTTTTCATTTCTTGCAGGTTATTTATCAAGATATTCACGTGCTGTGACAAAGCCGAACTGAACCCTGCTCTTTGCATTTCTGTGTGTAAATCTATCGGCATGGCGGACCAACAGAAGTTGGCTAATCTGCTATCACACATTTGTTTGACAACAACCGGTACGTAAATATTTTAAAATTGATGTTTATTAGATAAAAACTACCTTCGCATCATCAGAAAAAGAATAGGGATGCAAAACTTCTTTATTTCCGCACAACAGGAAATCCATGTTATTGTAAGATTTGTAAGATTTTATAGGCAAGAAATCTTTTGAACAGGTTCATCGACATCAAACGGCACGTCGGGCACGGCGAACGGCACGCCCACGGAGGCGGAGCTGGCCACGCCCACGTCGAGCGCGCCCGACGGCAACC